GTGTGAAAAACTTAATTTTGGACCTAGAGCATTCAAATTTGATAGGAATACAGGCGGCAGGATGGGAACACTTATGTTGGGTGGCAGGACCGGACTCCGCCCAAAGGGGGCGGGGTTTGTGTGAAAAACTTAATTTTGGACCCACAGTGTTCAAATTTGGTAGGAATACAGGCGGCAGGATGGGAACACTTATGTTAGGTGGCAGGACCGGACTCCACCTACAAGGAGCGGGGTTCGAGCAGAAACTTATGAATCCTGTTCCTATAGACCGAGAGAGTTCAAATTTGGTAGGAGTACAGGCGGCAGCATAGGAACACCAATGGTGGGTGCCAGGACAGGACTCCGCCCACAGTGGCCCATTGGGCGGGGTTTGAACGGAAAACTGGCTTGCAGAGACTATCATAATGGACCTAGAGCTACCAAACTTGGTAGGAATAGAGGAGGTATGATAGGTACACTGATAATGGGTTGCAGGACTAAACTCCGCCCCAAAGGGCGGGGCGTAAATAAATAGTGTTAGTTCGGACCCAGACCGTTGAAACTTGAAGGCACAAGGAGTTGGCTGGGAACTTTGATGGTTGCTGACACAATAGACTCAGCCGCAATGAAGTCTCTGGATATTTTTTTTCTCTGAATGATCGCCTTTGTGATATTATATGATGTTCTATTCGGGCACAGCGAAATGGCTTACAGAAAAAATCGCTCCCAATTCGGCGCTAATACTGAGGGTGTAGAGCTTTCGAAGAAAAAGCAGAATCCGAAGTGTTATTCACGTATAGCAAATTTCTCACAGGAAGGAGGAACGCCCGGCGTAGCCGGGCGAACCCTTAAGAAGGAGGGAAGCCCGGCGTTAGCCGGGCGGCCCGACTGGTAGCTAAAATGAACTCCTTAGTGTATCCATTATCTTTCGAAATTTTAACTAAATTTGTAATGTTAGAAATATATGTTGTAATATTACTACAAGTATTTGCTATTATAAGACATTCTGTATCAATAACTGAAGCTTTATTATTAGTTGAAATATTAGAATTTTTATGCGGGAATCTGTTAACCATGAAACCAAAATCATCCGTTTTATTATACAACTGCGTGATAATTCTATCATTTTCAATGGTTAAGGTCAGATCCAAATAATTGCTGTATCTATTGGTAATGTATGTTTTTTTTAGAACTAAGATATCTTTATACACTTCTTTAAGACACATTTCTATCCTCCTTTCTTGCTGATAGTGTATTATCAATAGATCGTCCATATATCTAAATGGAATGAACATAATATCTTCACCCTTCTTGATATTACTTGCATAATTGAATTCCATATTAGATAAAGTGAGATCTGCTAATTATGAGCTAAAATTACCGCTTTGAGGAACCTCAATCTTTTGTTTATAAACTTGTTCACCATAAATACAAAAACTATTATTTAAAATTAATTCTATGAAATATAAAAGATCTTCTATTCTGTAATGCCTGTACTTTGGCTTATCTACTACATTATCTGTGTAGAAAGTATAATAAAGTACTCCTTTCTCGAACCACATTGACATGATTGATATTTCTTAATATATGTAAAGACTACATGTAATTCTTCAGTAAGAGCTTCATGCTGCTTCTTCTGGCTCCTGTAATGAGTCTGAACTTGACCGGATCTCTGCGTAGTTTTGGTAGAGCATACAGTAGCGCTCAAAAGTCTTCGGTGAAATGGTTCATCAGCCGTACTTTTCAGTCGTAACTCCTTTCCTACTGAATCTAATCATGCGAAATTTATATATTCGGAGCGTGGGTGTACTGTAAATATTTACGACCATTAACCTGCAATCTGATCATGTTTCAGACATTTCAAAGAGCATGAACTCAAAATCGACTGAAAATACAGATGATGGCCCTTTAGAATCTCTTTCCTTTTTGTCATGTCTGAAGTGTACGAGCGGTTATGCCGAATACCATAGATGAGAAAAACGCACATAAGGCGGGAATAAGTGCAGACGTCAACAAATTAATTTTAGCAAAATCTGCTACCGCAACAAACACCCTGCTCTATCTGTGGATGTTGGAGCTTTGCAGTCAAATAGTGTTGGGTAGGGTGAAATATGCTCTAGTTAAACATATCCAAATTTTGCGCGATTTGGTCTACTAACAAAAAAGTTATGAACGAAAAAGCGTCGAAAGCATTTCAACGAAGACTTTTGAGCGCTATTGTATATAGTGGAGATTTCCATATTTTCTTCTATTTTCAGATTATTACTAGCACAAAAATGTTTATGTTTAGATATAATTTCTAGTTTGCTCTCATAATTTTCGAGTTCATATGTATGGTTATCATTACTATATATGAAACTACTAGCGACCTGATCATATTTTATGCCCATTTCTTGCATTAATATGTTTAGCTAATATTTTTTGCATACAGTCCCATAATTATTACTTGCCTTGTCTAACGGGCAGGAGACATATTTATTATGATATCTTTTCAGTGTGTGATGGTATATGCTCTGCATTCTCCTTAATCATAAGGGTTGCAAGTTGTAGTTTTGTTTTCTTATGTTGACTTTTTTCAAAAACTGAATAACTAAATTTCCTTTTATGCTACTGAGTTTATATTTACTGTAGAAACAACTTAAGATTTTATGTACCAAACTATCATAT